GCAAGAACAGTCAGTGTTCTTAACCGCTGAGCCATCTCTCCAGCCCCACCACAAGCATCTTTACCCACTAAGCCATCTTGCCACCACACAGTCCCCCCACCCACCCCCACCACTTTTTTTTTTCCTTCTTTTGACAGTGTCTGGGTTTGGAGCCCAAGCAGGTTTCAAATTCATGATCCTCTTGTCTTAGCCTCCCCAGTGCTGGGATTATAGGCCTGTATACACCACCCATACCCAGCCATGGATTTTTTTTTTTTTAATTTATGTAGAATGTAGGTGTTTTGGGCTTGTGCTTTGGGAAGCTGGGAAGCCCAAAACTATGGTACCTGCATCTAGTGAAGATGTTCTTGCTGCATCCTAATATGATGGCAAGCATTGCATGGTAAAGAGGGCAAACCACTAGCTTGGGTCACTCCTTGTCTTCTTAAAGAACATTAATGCCATCATGAGTCCTATCCTCATGACCTCTGTACTTTCTAGTTATATAAGAATACCTACATTTTAGAGTGTTTACTGGTGCTAATAACACCTGAACAAGTGGCTGATTTAAGTTAAGAATTATTACCCTTGGTCTAGGGAGATGGCTCAACGGTTAAGAACACTGACTGTTCTTCCAGAGGACCCAGGTTCGATTCCCAGCACCCGCATGGTGGCTAACAACCATCTGTAACTCCAGTTCTCGGGGATCCGTCTTCTGACCCAGGGCATTGAATGACATGTTGCACTTACATACACACATGCAGGCAATACACTCATACATAAAAAATAATAATAAAAAATAATAAACAAAAAAAAATTTTTAATTTTTTATTATTTTTATTTTATGTGTATATATGTGTTGCCTGCATGTAGGTAAGTGCACCCATGTTGTGCCCTGCCCATGGAGGACAGAAGAGGCTCTCAGATCCCCTGGAACTGGAGTTACAGACAGTTGTTAGCTGCCATGTGGGTGCTGGGATTCAAACCCGGGTCTTCTGAAAGAACAACCAGTGTTCTTAACCACTGAGCCATTTCTCCAGCCCTGGATGAAAATATTTTTTTTAAAAGATTTATCTTTTTAAATGTATGTGGTGGCGCACGCCTTTGATCCCAGCACTTGGGAGGTAGAGGCAGGCGATCTCTGTGAGTTCAAGGCCAGCCTGGTCTACATAGTGAGTTCCAGGCCAGCTGGGGCTACAGGGAGACCCTGTCTCAAAAAGACGAAAAAAAAAAAAAAAAAAAAAGATTTGGGGAGGTGGCTTGGTCACTGAAGTGCTTCCTTTGCCAACATAAGGACCAGAGTTCCATTTCCAGATCCCCAGTACTCATATGAAAGCTGAGCATGGTGAGAAATGCTTGTAATCCTGGGGCTGTGGAAACAGAGACAGGGGGATCCCTGGGGCTTGCCGTTGAGCTTCATCAATCAGTGAGCTCCAGACTGAGACCCTGTCTCAAAAAAACGGATATGCTTTCAAGATGGCTTAGTGGGTTAAAGACACTTGACACCAAGCCCGACAACCTGAGTCTGAGCCCAGAGACCCACGTGGTGAAAGGAGAGATCCAACTCCCGCAAGTTGTTCTCTGACCTCCACACACATGCCATGTGTGATACATACATTCATGCATGCACATATACACACACAAAAATAATTTTTAATGTAAAACAATTATTACTCTCATTTCCTGAAAGCATGAACAGATGCTCAGAGATGTTAAGGAGCTGGCATAAGATCACCAAGACAAGAAGCAGAGCTGGGACTTGCTCTCAGGAGGCTGGCTTGTGTAGGCAATACACTCATAACATAAAATAAAAATAATAAATAACTTTTTAAAAAGAGAGAGCGAATCTGCAGTCTTGGGTCTATTGCTAATGAGCTGCAACATTTTGTGTGCACCTTTCCTGACTTTTTCCTATGGCTATATACATTTAGTACAGAAAATAAGACTACAGCTGGGCATGGTGGTACATGCATTTAGTGCCAGCACTCAAGAGGCTGAGGCAGGCAGATCTCTGTGAGTTCAAGGCCAGCCTGGTCTACATAGTGAGTTCCAGGCCAGGGAGACCCTGTCTCGAAAAGAAAAAAGAAAAGAAAGAAAAGAAAAGAAAAGAAAAGAAGAAAGGAAAAGAAGGCTGCAATCCCCCTTCCTTTTAGTGTGTACATGTATATTTGGGGGGCAGGGCACATATGCCACAGCCTGCGTGTGGAGGTCCTTGAGTGTGGGGGTCCTCACCTTCCACCTTGTTCAAGGCAGGGTCCTGTTGCCCACCACTGCATACT